GCCCACCTTTATGGTTGACAATCTCATTACGTCAATGCCAATCAGTGTCCTCTCAATCAATGTTCACAAATGGGGATGTTTAAGCCTCCATGCAGATTGGCATATTCAGGAACCAGATATTAGCTCCCCACACCCACACCTACCTTCTGTCTGCTGGGAACAACCACTACCTACAGCTCCGCCACACCAGGTAACCCTCACCCACCTACCCTCTGTCTGCTAGGACTTACCTACAGCTCCGCCACACCAGGTAACCCTCACCTACCCTCTGTCTGCTAGGACTTACCTACAGCTCCGCCACACCAGGTAACCCTCACCTACCCTCTGTCTGCTAGAACCTATCTACAGCTCCCCCACACCAGGTCACCCTCACCTACCTTCTGTCTGCTAGAACCTATCTACAGCTCAGCCACACCAGGTAACCCTCACCTACCCTCTGTCTGCTAGAACCTACCTACAGCTCCCCCACACCAGGTAACCCTCACCAACCCTCTGTCTGCTAGAAACTATTTACAGCTCCCCCACACTAGGTAACTGTCACCTATCCTCTATCTGCTAGGTCCTACCTACAGCTCCCCCACACCAGGTAACCCTCACCTACCCTCTGTCTGCTATGGCCTACCTACAGCTCCGCCACACCAGGTAACCCTCACCTACCCTCTGTCTGCTATGGCCTACCTACAGCTCAGCCACACCAGGTAACCCTCACCTACCCTCTGTCTGCTAGAACCTACCTACAGCTCCCCCACACCAGGTCACCCTCACCTACCCTCTGTCTGCTAGAACCTACCTACAGCTCCCCCACACCAGGTCACCCTCACCTACCTTCTGTCTGCTAGAACCTACCTACAGCTCCCCCACACCAGGTAACCCTCACCTACCCTCTGTCTGCTGGGACTTTACCTACAGCTCCGCCACACCAGGTAACCCTCACGCCTGCCCTCGCAATGCTTGCTGGGAACCTATCTACAGCTCCCCACCCAGGTCACCCTCACCTGCAACCTGTCTGCTGGGGAACCATATCTGCAGCTCGCCCGCCAGGTAACCCTCACTACCCTCTGTCTGCTTCAGAACCTACCTACAGCTCCCCACCTGCAGGTAACCCTCGCAACCCTCTGTCTGCTAAGGAAGCTATTTACAGCTCCCACTGAGTAGCTGTCACCTACCCTCTGTCTGCTATGGCCTACCTACAGCTCCCCCACACCAGGTAACCCTCACCTACCCTCTGTCTGCTATGGCCTACCTACAGCTCAGCCACACCAGGTAACCCTCACCTACCCTCTGTCTGCTATGGCCTACCTACAGCTCAGCCACACCAGGTAACCCTCACCTACCCTCTGTCTGCTAGAACCTACCTACAGCTCCCCCACACCAGGTCACCCTCACCTACCCTCTGTCTGCTAGAACCTACCTACAGCTCCCCCACACCAGGTAACCCTCACCAACCCTCTGTCTGCTAGAACCTATCTACAGCTCCCCCACACTAGGTAACTCTCACCTACCCTCTATCTGCTAGGTCCTACCTACAACAGCTCCCCACACTAGGTAACTGTCACCCTACCCTCTGTCTGCTAGAACCTACCTACAGCTCCCCCACACCAGGTAACCCTCACCAACCCTCTGTCTGCTAGAAACTATTTACAGCTCCCCCACACTAGGTAACTGTCACCTATCCTCTATCTGCTAGGTCCTACCTACAGCTCCCCCACACCAGGTAACCCTCACCTACCCTCTGTCTGCTATGGCCTACCTACAGCTCACCCACACCAGGTAACCCTCACCTACCCTCTGTCTGCTATGGCCTACCTACAGCTCAGCCACACCAGGTAACCCTCACCTACCCTCTGTCTGCTATGGCCTACCTACAGCTCAGCCACACCAGGTAACCCTCACCTACCCTCTGTCTGCTAGAACCTACCTACAGCTCCCCCACACTAGGTAACTGTCACCTATCCTCTATCTGCTAGGTCCTACCTACAGCTCCCCCACACTAGGTAACTGTCACCTATCCTCTATCTGCTAGGTCCGACCTACAGCTCCCCCACACTAGGTAACTGTCACCTATCCTCTATCTGCTAGGTCCTACCTACAGCTCCCCCACACTAGGTAACTGTCACCTATCCTCTATCTGCTAGGTCCTACCTACAGCTCCCCCACACTAGGTAACTGTCACCTATCCTCTATCTGCTAGGTCCTACCTACAGCTCCCCAACACTAGGTAACTGTCACCTATCCTCTATCTGCTAGGTCCTACCTACAGCTCCCCCACACTAGGTAACTGTCACCTATCCTCTATCTGCTAGGTCCTACCTACAGCTCCCCAACACTAGGTAACTGTCACCTATCCTCTGACTGCTAGAACCTATCTCTCTGTCTGCTGGAATAACCTTCTAAGTATCACTTTCAGTTATAAAACTTCCACAAAAAGCTCCAACATGCAGACAGTGCCAGGATGGAGCTGCTTGTTTTATTCTGTTTAGTAAGTGTTCCCCTGTGTGGTAACTGATAATGAGCACTTTACAGGCAATCACCTACCAGCACTCTGTCTTAATGATTTAATGTACTGATTAATAAGGGAGGGAGACAGGCATTCCTGGAAATTACTGAATGCAGACCACCAGCAAAGCATTGAGTATTATTCCAATAAATATACACGGGGGAGGGGGGAAAGTGGGAGGCTGGGGTGATATTAATGTCGCCATTAATGCCCTCACACCTCACAGCTGCTGGATTTAGAGAACGGCAGCATAATTATTATTTTATTATTTATATAGCACCATCAGATTCCATAGCGCTGTACAATTAGTGGAATAACATACATGTAATTGTAACCAGACAACTTGACGTACAGGAACAGAGAGGTGGAGGGCTCTGCTCAATGAGCTTACATTCTAGAGCGAGTGGGGTATAGTGACACAAAGGGTAAAAGTAGGGGTACGAAGTAGGTTGTTAGAAAAGTATTCGCTGAGGGCTTAGTAGGTAATTTTTTACAGTTGCAGGAGAAAGGGGGTGGGGGATAAAAACCTGCTAATAGTTTAATTGATATGCTTTCTTGAAGAAGTGAGTTTTCAATGATTTTTTGAATGCGTGGAGACTGGGTGAAAGTCTTGGAGGCGAGTGTTACAGGTGGGAGTACAGACAGAGGATATATGTAGGTCTTTGGCAGAGCGTAGGGGCCTCGGTGGGACATACTTGTGTATTAGGGAGGATAAGTAGGTTGAAGCAGCATTATGTAGGGACTTGTAAGCAAGCACCAGAATTTTTAATTGCGCCCTATATCTAACTGGGAGCCAGTGCTGGGACTGACAGAGCGGGGAGGCATGGGAGGTGCGAGCAGACAGGAAAATGAGCCTCGCCACCGCATTCATTATAGATTGCAACGGTGCAATCTGGGAACACGTAAGACCACTGAGAAGAGTATTGCAGGAGTCCAGGCGAGAGAGAACAAGAGCATGGACCAGCACCTTAGCCACATCCGGGTTAAAAAGTGGCGGATTTGCGCTATGTTTTTGAGATGGAAGCAACAGGATTTGGTGATTGATTGGACATGAGGGGTGAAGGAGAGGTTGGAGTCAAAAAGAACACCCAGGCAGCGAGCCTGCGAGGTAGAGGTGATGGTAGCGCCGTTGACTTTGCGGGAGACAGACACGGGAGTAGCAACACTTGAGGGAGGAAAGATCAGAAGTTCTGTTTTGGACAGGTTGAGTTTAAGGAAGTGAGCAGCCATCCATTTGGAAATCGAAGAGAGGCAGTCAGAGACACGAGTCAAGATGGGCAGAGAGAGATCAGGAGAGGACTGGTAGATTTGCGTGTCATCCGCACAGAAATGATAACGGAAGCCAAACGAGTTTACCAAGGGAGGCGGTATAGATAGAGAACAGTAGGGGACCAAGGACAGAACCTTGGGGGACGCCGACAGAGAGTGGTCGGGGGGAAGGGGCAGAGACAGAGAAAGAAACAGTAAAAGAGCGCTGGGAGAGGTAGGAGGAGCACCAGGAGAGAGCAGTATTCCGTAGACCAAAATTATGGAAATATCTTTATATAAAGCTGGGTAGATGAGGCCTAAATCATTTGTGACAGAGTATAATTGAAAACATTATTATTATTATTATTATGATATTCCGCAGCGCTTTACAATGGGTGGACGAACAGACATGTAGTTGTAACCAGACAAGTTGGACACACAGGAACAGAGGGGTTGAGGGCCCTGCTCAGTGAGCTTATATGCTAGAGGGAGTGGGATAAAATGACACAAAAAGGTAAGGATAGTATTGGACTAGTGACAGTTGCAGAAGAGGAATCAGTCAGGAGCTATTAACAGTTTAATTGATACGCTTTTATGAAGAAGTGGGTTTTTAATGATTTTTTTGAAGGAGTGGAGATTGGGTGAGCACAACAGATCACTTCCTCCCAGCTTCGCAGAGGGCTGTGCGGGAGAGGGGAGATTGGAGGCGGTGGTGGTATCACAGGCAGCATGGAGACAGAGGAGAGTGCCTCAGCCAGAACCAGGACCCTAAGCAAGCCACTTTCCTGGACACAAA